CCACGTCGTGCGTGCCAGTGTGGTGCGACTTGGGTCGTGACTTAATGACCAAAGACAAATGTGGGTCTTGACGTTATACAGGTTGAGAACCACTGCTCTAGAGGGTTCCAATAGAGAACTTACCATTTCCATGTTCGTACAGCCCAGTTCCAGTAGTGCTAAGCAGTTCCCCAAAGCCACTATGCTCTCTGTTCATGTCACCTCCCCTCTTGCCGATGTCATCACGTACAATGCAAGACCAGCAGCTACCACTGGTTTTGCTATGTATGAGATGGTGTCAGGGGCCTAGGAGAAAAGAAGGCCAGAGCACTGGCAGCCACATGACTGTGGAAGGTAAGTACGCCTCTGAATTAGAACCCCATAGACTAAATGAGCATTATATGTCCTGCAGACGGGTGGGCTTACTTTTTTATTTTCCGGGCCAGCTTTGGGCTTTAACTCAATAGGAGAAGTGGTGTCACCTTCCTAGCTGTGATATCTGGCAGAGGTGTAGAAATGGCAAAAAGTGTCCTGAAATAAAAATCCTTTGGCAGATCAGACCGTTCACGTATGTGTGTTCCAAATGCGTATTTATTGGTTTGCCTGGCCCTCCTCCGCTCAGTAAGGAACGGCTGCAATACAAATCTGCAGGTCTATCTCCGGGACTTACCTCCACCACTTGGGCATCGTTCAGCCAAGTGCTGAGAATTTTTCGGATCAACTGGAAGACTTGCTGTAGGTTAATAACAATGGCATGGGAGAGGAGCGTCGCCTTCTAGTTTACAAAACTCTTTTGTACCAGTGACTGACCTGTCGCGTCAGATCGATGGCGCAGGCCTGCGGGATAGTGCTGTACATCTGGCCCAACATCTCACACACCTGAGGAACCATGGGAGCAAAGTCGTCCAGAAGCGTCTTCACCGACTTCTCAAATATGGCGCACACTGCCTGCCACAGAAAATCTAGATGTTAGTCGCTTGGACATTAAAAAAAAATGCATTTGTGTATTTGTTTCATTTAAAAAGAAATTTGTTTTTATATACAACTAGAATAAGGACCACCTGACTCCGCCTTGGTGTCGGCTTCCTGTCACCCCTTTTACAGCAATGTCACACCCGGGAAAGGAGATCACATTAATGTATTCCTTAAAGTGTAACTCAAATCTGGCCCCAAAAATAAAAAGTGACACCCCACCCAAAAAAAAATGTTAAATGTATATATATATATTATATACTGAATAAAATGATTGTTTAGTCTAGGGCCGTGGTTCTCAACTGGTGGGTAGCCGCATGCCTTCCACTGCACTATTGTGAGGCTCCTCAGCCTCCCCCCCCCCCCATCACAGCACTGTCCGTTCTCGTGCCAAGCAGCCATTCAAAATATGCTGCCCGATGCTGAATGTCAGCTTGAAGTGAGGCGGTGTGGGCTGGAGGTATGGCTGCGAGGGCACTCCATCCATACACATTGCTTACAGCTTCCACGCGTGACCAGAGTGACATCACATTCTGGCTCCTTGCCCCTCTACAGGGAGTGCAGGGGAGCTGTAAAATCAATGCACGTATGGATGGAGCTTTGTCACAGCACACAGCCCACACTGAACCCCTAAACATTTTTTGGGTATGTGTGTGTGTGAGACTGTCTGAGTGTGCGATATTGTGTCTGTGTGATTAAAACACTGACAGACACACACAACCAAACTACCATGCAATCGCACCTACTGTTCGTTCCGGTGCAGGAGGTGCGTTGCAATTCATTTGAATGGCACCCCAAAAACCCCTCCCGCCCACAGTTTGATCGCTTGCACCGGAACACGCAGTACTGCAATGTCGTGCGTTCCAGTGTGGTGCGACTTGGGTCGTGACTTAATGACCAAAGACAAATGTGGGTCTTGACGTTATACAGGTTGAGAACCACTGCTCTAGAGGGTTCCAATAGAGAACTTACCATTTCCATGTTCGTACAGCCCAGTTCCAGTAGTGCTAAGCAGTTCCCCAAAGCCACTATGCTCTCTGTTCATGTCACCTCCCCTCTTGCCGATGTCATCACGTACAATGCAAGACCAGCAGCTACCACTGGTTTTGCTATGTATGAGATGGTGTCAGGGGCCTAGGAGAAAAGAAGGCCAGAGCACTGGCAGCCACATGACTGTGGAAGGTAAGTACGCCTCTGAATTAGAACCCCATAGACTAAATGAGCATTATATGTCCTGCAGACGGGTGGGCTTACTTTTTTATTTTCCGGGCCAGCTTTGGGCTTTAACTCAATAGGAGAAGTGGTGTCACCTTCCTAGCTGTGATATCTGGCAGAGGTGTAGAAATGGCAAAAAGTGTCCTGAAATAAAAATCCTTTGGCAGATCAGACCGTTCACGTATGTGTGTTCCAAATGCGTATTTATTGGTTTGCCTGGCCCTCCTCCGCTCAGTAAGGAACGGCTGCAATACAAATCTGCAGGTCTATCTCCGGGACTTACCTCCACCACTTGGGCATCGTTCAGCCAAGTGCTGAGAATTTTTCGGATCAACTGGAAGACTTGCTGTAGGACCAGAACGACCTGCACACAGCACAGAAACGTCATTGCTCATTGTGTATACGTCACTTCTAAGCTATTTTGCAGTTTAACGTGAAGCTGAAACCTTTCAGTAGCATTGGACATGATATTTCTCACCATCCTCACTTAGGGTCTTTTGCAATGCTGCAGTTACTGTAAAATCATTCCCAGAAACCCGACTGGTTTCCTTTTTGTAAGAACGGTGGCCGCTGTGCACCGCTCCTTTCCCAGGCCACCGGTCTTCCCCAATGCAGATTATTTCTATCCAGTGATGACATAGTAGCGTCACCGCTGCCTGTAGTGGGAGGACCCGGGAATCTCATAGTCTGGTCTGCCCAACCCACTCATCACACCGGCTGGGCTCACAGTCCTCCAGGACATGGAAGCACTCGCACGTTATTACTTGAATGTGGCCCAGTCCTGGAAGAATGCCCACCCCTGGTTGCTGCCAGATGAAGAAAAAGAAGATGCTGTGACATCATTGGACCGTCAAGAAGACTTCAAGGGAATAGGTATAGGTGTGTAAAAGAAATACCGGGAGTGGGGATTCTAAAGATGAGGGGAAGAAGGAGGAGTGAGAATCCTGCAGTTCCAATTTAAAGCAAACGTTTACCCCCTTTACTAAAAATCCCATCAGTATGCGGCTCTACATACTAATATGGAATCACCTTACATTCTTTAAGTTACAAAAAAAAAGTTTTTGCTTACTTACAATTACTGTTTTTACACTTCCTGGATGTGGAAGAATGGATGAGTGAGGCACTGCTATGTAGCCCTGGCCCCACAGATACATCCTGGGCAGGCCTGGGGGGGGGGGGGACATTTCCCCCCCCCCCCCAGCTGCGGTGCCTTGTCAACTGTTCCAG